GCGGGTACCATGTCGCCGCCTTCCGCCGTTGCTTCTACTGCCGCTGTTTCCCATGTTGGGTTTGGTGGTGTTGAAATATTTCTCGGGAAGCAAACAAATTCAGCCTGAAAACCTTAGGTTGTGTTATCAGACAGATTTAGAAGATGTGAAAGATTGGAACTTTGTTTTTGTTTTTCTCTTCGTGTGCTGTTCGAAGTGAAAGATAAATTTGGATAGTAACAGAGAAGTATAAAAATGAAAAAAAAAAACACTAAAACTAATAATAATATATAGGAAAGGGACTTAAAATAAAAATAAATAAATAAAAGAAAGGAGAGAGAGAGAGAGAGAGGAATCTTGTATTGTTTTGTAATAATAATGGGTGGGGGGAGATTGGGTGGAATGGGTTGCGTAAAGCTCCACCCAAAACACCATCCATATGAGATGATGGGAATTGAGACTAGAAAGAGTTTATGCTCCACAGCTAAAGCTAACAGCTTTTTCCTTTTTCTAATCTGTATATATCAACATTATTAGATTACACATGAATTCATCAGACCAAGAAGAAAGAAGATAAGATTAAGTACATCAAAGATATTGTGAAAGTCGAATTTGTATCTGGAGAGGGAGTGTCAAGTGACTCCAACCTTAACGCTCCGGGCAACGGTGGATTTTGCATAGTCTCCCCCGTTGCCCGGAGTTTTTTGGAATATGTTATATATGCGCATGTTGAAGCTAGCATCATATTCATACCATGCATGCATGCATGTATGTTATTGGCTTGAGGAAGAAGAATACAAGTTGGCTTGCTTGGGCATGTGACTCATGAATCATGATATGCCTGATTTTGGTTGCCAAGTTGCTTTTCATATCGAGGCAGTGAATGATGATGTCAATTTGTTTGCATTGGAGATGCGCATAATATAAGTTCTGTTTCATAAGGAAAAGTAAGAACTGGCAATATTAATTGTTTGTTCTTTTATGTTGAAATTGTGTCAAAACTTCTGATAATTTATTGCTTCCATTAGCCAGCAGTTGATATCCAAGTTTTCATGTTGAAATTGTGTCACGAGAATAACACTGTTTTTCTATCCCAATCTAATCATGTGAAATCATGTTTCATTATTATCACCCATGACAGAACGTGATTAATTAAGGAGAGCAAAACAAGCGACATACAAATTTTTATCTTTTTTAGACAAAAGGGAATGTGGTTCCCACTTTATAAGCAACTGGGCAGTCCACAAGAGATATTTTGAGCGATGATGCATGCCCCTTATCACCATGTCATGAATTATCGAGTAACCATACATAATCTTTGTGTGATATTCTCTCTGTTCATCCTCTCTCTGTTCATCCGTTCAATTTTATAACATATTTCAATACATACAAAATCATAAAAAAAATTCACTCCCATAAATATCGTTGTCGTCAACCAAGTTAAAGTTTTAGATCGTAATAATAAAATCTATTTTTTACTATTACTTTATAATCTTTATTACCTTTACCATCTTCTTTTTCCTGATAGCAACCATTAAAGTATAAAATACTGAGATAGGTAATTTGCAGCACTTATTTCACCATCTCTGGTTGAACTCTACCTTGTTCAAAGTCAAAACCAGTCTCCATCACCATCTTTACAAGCCCAGCAAAAAAAACTTACCTAAAGGCTGTTTTGTGCCTAATTTTGCACTTGTGGTATGAATATTAAAGGATATGTTATATGCCTTACACGTGTAGTCCACTGTAATATCTAGCAACATGCATTATCGATTTTTACTCAGGATACCTAATCCCATTACATGGCTATGGCTTACTCGTTTCCTTGCAAAACAAGCAACCTAACATTGAGACTTGACACTAAACCTACTCGTGCAATTTGAAGACGATGGCATATCCAATCCCTCATCTATCTCACAAAATTACCAAACTAGCCATGAACAACAAATTATATATATATATTTTTTGTCTCCTAAATATAAATATAGTTGGACAAAAGTCAAGAAAACCAATTTAATTGAAGGGGCTTTATATATGATATGCTTGATTTTGAGTGCCAAGTTGATGTCGGTTTTGATGGCTATCTGTTTCAACAAAGGAGGCAAGGAAATCCAATTAAGGTTCAAGGATAAGGAAAACGTGACAAAGAAAAACGGGAATTTCAACTGCTTCTTGTAATTAAAGCCATCCAAGCTAATAATCCAAAATGCTAAGCTGGTGTGTGAGAATAGAATCTTAAAGTGTGTTCAATGCCCTGTGGATCATGAATTCACATATAGAAGATCATTGTCTCCCTTGATAAGAGTGACCATAATATAATGAATTCATGGGAGCTTTTACGATGAGGGGGATTTTGACGAGAGGGTACTTAGGGGCGTTTGGTTATGTTTTGCAAGCCTGTTTTCTGTTTTCTAAATTCAAAATTCATTAGATACGGGTTGGTTCGGCGGGTTAATTTTTGTTCTAAAAAAAACATGGGATACTATTTTAAGGAAACGAGATAAAAATACAGTGTAAAAGTAAGAATGCTCTAAACATGTTTTCTGTATTTTCAACGAATACATACATAGCACTCCGTTTTCTTAACAAGCACACTATTACTGGGTCAGTTAACTCAACCAAGTTAATGAGCTTACAAATTCAACAATTTACTTAAATATCTGACTCAAACCCAAGAGGATTATGGGTAAAGAAAGGTGATTCATAATAGATTTGAATGGCATGGAAATTTGGTCTAACCAATTTTGTCATTTGTCACAAGAGATAGAATTGATCAAATCAAAATTTTGTCATAGTTTCTTATTCTAGAAAGGTCTTATTCTTGCACATTCATATACCAAATTGGCATTACTTTGGTGGATATTGACTTCTTTGACTTCAAACTAAAATGAAACATTTCGATGCTACTATTTATAAAATCAATTCCACCGTGTAATGTAGGACTTGAACTGTCCAACAAGAGACCACCACGCGTATAATAGATATCACCATAGACCATAGACTAGACCTCCTAGTTTACTAGACCGGTCCCAACTTCCAAACATAAATATTTTGGATATGCGAACCATCTATGAGAAACTGTTGACCACACTCCGTTCCTCCTTTCAAACTTTGATTCATTCAAATGTGTGTGAACAAAAATATCTTATAAACACACAAGCCAGGTATGGTAATGATTGTGTACTTTGTTCTTTGGATAGACAAGGGTGTTTTCGTCAGATGAAATTGACAGACTTGCCACATGACACCATGACTGTGCCTTGACTCGGCACTTGACTCGGCACGGTGATGACCGCCGTGTGAGTAATGCTAGAGAAACCTCATTTTTTGGTAACATCTAATTTCATTAATTAATCACATGATGTAAAGTTAATGATTTCTATTGATGCATACTTTTCATTTTATTAAATGAAATCATGATTTCAAATTTCGCGAACGATATTTATTGAAATTAAAAAAAACATATACCAATTGGCGCGTTATGTAATAGTCTAGAACGTGTGAGAAAATTCCAATCTCTTCAACATATTATAATGTTGTCAATGGGATTTCATAATCCGGGGGAAGGAGTTGTTAATTAGGAGAGAAAAACAGGGTAAAAGGGTATGGCTGATTCAATCCTTCCGTATTAGTTTCCAAAGACCTTCCTAAGAATCAGTATTAACAATTGGTCTCCAAACAGGCTTTGCACGTTTTGGTAATATGACTTCTTCTTTTTGTTGGATACGAATTTTGGTAATATGATTTGCTTCTCGTTTTTAGGCGTGTTGATGTTAGCCAGCCAGTTAGACACTTAACTTTCTAAACCAATGAAATGTGGTTTTTTTTTTTTTTTTTAAGTGATATTATACTTTAAACTAATCCAAACTAGAATAAGAAGGATTTGAACTCGGATGCAGAGTGGGGATCAAATTCACTCTAGCCAATTTGGCCAAGTCCATGCCAACATGAAATGTATTTTTATCTAAACCTAATAAAAATTGAAGTCAATATTTCTCGATGATACGGCATCTCTAAGAAATTATTTAAAACATAATTAAAAGGCCAAATTCCATTTAATGAAACTAATAATAGAAGTTGGTTACTAACTAAACCATGATAAATGCAAATAATTTTACTTCAACTAAATATGAGGGTGAGGCCAAATTACGTACAGTAACAGACAGACAGACAGACAGAGACCCCTCCCCAACAAGAAATATAAAAATTCCGATGGAAAACTGAGTTCAAACTATGAGAAAGTCTGAAGTCAAAAGCCGCGGGCAATATAATAATTATAATTCTGCGTCTCCATTTCTGTTTTTCCCAAAGCTTATTGTTTCTTGGGTTACTCTCTATAATCCATTTTAGTTAGTCCGAAGTTTCAAGATTTTAGCTTTCAAGTACATACCTTGGGCGAAATAAAAAGCTGCAACATGAAGTTCCCAATTCCCTGCACAGGTTGCTTCTTCTCCTCACCTCAAAAGGTCATGGAAAAAGGGATGCAAGGTATTAATGAGATGTCTGCCTCTGTGTTTTGTGTGCAGAGACCCCTCCCCAACAAGAAATATAAAAATTCCGATGGAAAACTGAGTTCAAACTATGAGAAAGTCTGAAGTCAAAAGCCGCGGGCAATATAATAATTATAATTCTGCGTCTCCATTTCTGTTTTTCCCAAAGCTTATTGTTTCTTGGGTTACTCTCTATAATCCATTTTAGTTAGTCCGAAGTTTCAAGATTTTAGCTTTCAAGTACATACCTTGGGCGAAATAAAAAGCTGCAACATGAAGTTCCCAATTCCCTGCACAGGTTGCTTCTTCTCCTCACCTCAAAAGGTCATGGAAAAAGGGATGCAAGGTATTAATGAGATGTCTGCCTCTGTGTTTTGTGTGTTTTTCTTGGGGTTTGTTGTGATTTTACTGTGTTCTTGATTGCTTTTTTGTACTTGGTAAATACCCAGATGGAGAAAATCAAGAAAGCTTCAGAATTTTCTCTTCCAAGGAATTGAAGTCTGCCACTAATGGCTTCCATTCCTCAAAGAAGCTTGGAGAAGGTGGCTTTGGCTCTGTCTATAAGGTTTTTTTCTTGGTCTGCAACATAAATTCTACAAATTTGGTTGAGTTTAGCTTGTGTGTGTGTGTGTGTGTGTGTGTGTGTGTAATTTAGCTGTGTTTTGCTGATATGGGATAAATTTTGGTTGAGTTTTAAAGGGTCGGCTTAGAGATGGCAGCCTTGTGGCTATAAAAGTGCTTTCCACTGAAATTGAATCTATGAGAGGAGAGAGGGAGTTCATAGCAGAATTGGCTGCTCTGTCTGTAATCAGACATGAAAACCTTGTTAGGCTTCAAGGGTGTTGTGTTGATGGAGCTGGCAGATATTTGGTCTACGATTACATGGAAAACAATAGCCTCACACACACTTTACTTGGTAAACCTATGCTTCTAATTTCTAAATTTGATTACCTTAATGATCCTCATTTTAACTATTGGTATTTTAATTGGTTGATTTTAGGAGATTTTGTTATTTATCTGTAGCAAATTATTGACAGTTACAATGAATGCAAATGAAAGAATATGATTTTAGGAGACTTTAGTTTCTCATATTGGTACATTAATTTGTTTATTTTAGGAGATTTTGTGATGTATCTGAAGAAAATTATTGACAGCTACAATGAATGCAAATGAAAGACTATGATTTTTTTAGGCAAATTGTGTAATAATGTATGTTGATTAACAGGTGGAGAGCAAAACAGGATGAGATTTAGTTGGGATGCAAGGAGGCATATTTCATTAGGGATAGCTCGAGGACTTGCCTATCTGCACGAGGAGGTTGAACCTCACATTCTGCACAGAGACATTAAAGCCAGTAACATACTTCTTGATGAGAATTTCACACCAAAAGTTGGTGATTTCGGCTTATCAAAGCTGTTAAGAGACAACCATTCTCACATTAGTACTCGTGTAGCCGGGACAATGTAAGTTGTTGAATCACTAATTCTTCTTGCTTCATGCTTCTCTGCTTTTGGATTATTATCTGAAATGCTATTGCATGCTAATGGGGTGTCTCACAATAATCCAAAAGAGGTTATCTTGCTCCAGAATATGCAATTAGCGGGCGTTTGACGCGAAAATCAGATGTTTATAGCTTCGGAGTACTGCTGTTAGAAATTGTCAGCGGCCGTGCAGTTGTGGATTTCGACTTGGAACATGGGGAGCATCACCTGGTTCAGAAGGTAAGCAAATTAGAGCAATTTATCACTACCCGCTTTGGCCATGCGTTTTTATTCTGTCATATGGTATAACTGAAGCCATGTTGTTTGTGAATTTGCAGGCATGGGAAGCATTCAAGGCTGGTAATCTTGTACAATTAGTTGATCCTACACTTCAAATGAACTTTCCTGAAGATGAAGCCATCCGGTTCTTAAAGTTAGGCCTTCTTTGTGTGCAAGAGATGGCCAAGCTCCGGCCGCAAATGTCGAGGGCTGTTAAGATTTTGTCTGGTGAGGTAGACATAAAAGATTCTCAGATTTCAGAACCGGGACTTGTTTCTGATATCATGGAAATCAAAATGGGGCAACAGCAGTCATATGATCAGAGCACTTTCTCCAAAGCTTCCACAGCCAGTAGCACGCAAAACCAGAGTAGATCTGAGGACTTTGTGATGTCCTTCTAACCATCCTGTAAGGCTTATTTTTCTCAACTTGTCCCAGGAAGATCATGTGAGCCTACAGAAGATACAATGTTTTTTGTTGGATGTCCTTGTGTATATATATAATCTGCACGCCAACTCCATTTGGACAAGTCATGTAGATATATAACTCAAGACAACCAATTTTGTTTTTTGTTTTTTGTCTTATTTTTTGGGCTTTAAATTGGTTAATTATTTGTGGGATGTGGAGGTAGTTTTACTTTGTTTCTTGCTGTTGTTGATAGTATTTTGCTGAACAGATGTGTACAAAATTACCTTTAATAAATTAATGCCGCCACCAGCTCAGGTGTTTAACTTTCTCGAGCTGTTTCTGTTATTTACTCAGCCTAAAGTTCATAAACTGCAGCAGAGACATTAGTGGCTGAGGAAGTATGTTTAAATGTGAACCAAAATGAATCATAACAGTAAATATAACAAAGAAAGAAAAAAGCAAAATTTAATGAAATATACTGAAGGGTAAACTTTAACAAAATGATATTATAATATAGTGCTCCATTATCTACCCAAGTAAATGACACATGATATGCATGGCGATGGCTCCATGGATGCCATTCACTTTGGCCGCAAGTTTTCTGGTGGGCTTAGCAGATGGCATACAGGGAACCAGGTAGGAATGGCAATGGGTCGAATCAGGGGTGGGTATGGCATTCCCATCCCCATCCCTGTTAAGCTTTTTTCCCCCATCCTCGCCTTCATTCCCGCAATATTCATATCGGGGATTCCCCATCCCCACCCTCATTGGGGAATGGGTTCCCTGACCCG